CTGAGTGCCAGAACTCACCTGTTTTCCAAACACTGGAAAGGACTTTCTGCTTTTCTTTTTATGGAAGCAAAACATCTCTCTTCTCCAGGCACAAATGTCTGAAATTAGGATTCCACATCCATAATTTCAAATATCCAAGGGTTGCTCCAAGCAAACCTGCCAGGACAGAAAAGTCAGGCTTGCCTTGGCCTCTGGTGGTTGCCTTTCATCACCTTGTGAAACATGGGAGCTCCGTGGTTTCCTTTCTATGGAGACCAATATGACATTTGGGAGCCTTGTGAAATGAAGGGACCACTGTGACACTGTAGAGCCTTGTGGCACCAAGGACATCATTATGTCTCTGTTGGGCTATATGGTCCCAAGGGGCAGTGCAAATCAGCAGCGTGGGATTAGCCCAGCTGTAACTCAGAGTTAGATTTTACCTCAGAAGAACTGGGCATGAGTTCCAAGTCCTAGGAATCATTTTTTAAATTAGGGTGAGCTTGAGAGTTCCCCCATAAGCCTTTAGTGTTTTTATGCTAAGTTGTCCAAGTTCTACTCCACTATTGGTTTATTGGTTACTTGTTTCTTCTATATGGTTATTGTTCTAGTTTTCTACCCCCAAGTGTCTATGTTGTTGCTTCCCCTTTGTCTCTGGTCTTAGGATGCTGCCCCTTGTACTGTGCTGAACTTCTCAATAAACAATGTTTATTGTTTTTCACCCTGTTATTAAAGTTCTTTTAGGGCAACTGCATCGAACCCGCTCCTTTTCATTTTTGCCAACCTCGCCCTGAAGTCAGGGAACCAGAGAGGTTTGTCGCAGTCACATTCATTGTGACATTTGGCACCCAAACAGGCACCAAGACATATAGGGCTCCCTGTGTCAGTCACGTCAGCTGGGGTTACCTGATGGATAAGCCAGTGCCCCCCGGGATTTTGGATTATGCTGAGCCCTGTGGATTCATCGTTGCTTCAGGGACCTTGCCCAGGATCGGCAGGGACAACAACGGTTTCACCTGCATAGGATTGCTGGTGGATTTGGGGACACACAAGACATTTATTGCCCATTTTGCCACTGTGTTTTTACAATATGCACCCAAGTCTCATAATTGATTTTGGGTGTTCCAGTGGCTCTTCCCCATAAGGCAGAGAAAGAGAAAAATGGGCAACCAGATGTCCAAAGACGAAAGGAGCATATATGGATGCTTTAATTCTCACTGATCACGACATAATATTTTCAAAGAACAAATTAAAATCAATCATGAGGTGGATCATGAAAAATTTTCCAGACGCCTCTGCTGACAAAATCCATACCACTGAATTTTGGGACTCAGTGGGAGATAAATTGTACAATCTTTTGATCAAAAGGGACCACATTGCACCCCATATGCTCCCCATCTTTCACACCATCCTTGAGACCCTTGACCAGCAAGCAGTGTGTTGAAAACTCAATCCGATTGTCACTCCTAACTCAGGACCTCCCCTCAAACCTGCCTGTCTCAGACCTTCCACGATGGTGCAAGATGGCGATGGCCATGCGGTCTTGGAGGATCAAGGCAAGGAGATTCAAGATGGAAGGAGCCTGAATGTGGCAGAGGAGCCAAACCATCCTCCCTCCATCTTGTCTCCTGCACTTCCTGCTACCACAACTGTCTCTTCTGCCCTGAATGAACCTCCAGGCTCCACCCCTATGACTGCGGGTCAGGCCCCACTGTCAATCATTCCACCCTCATACCCTGGGCCATGCCTCCAGAATTCCACCCCACAAATCCGCCATCCTAAATCAAGGCCCTTCCTCCCCAACACCTGACAAAATAGCAATGCCCTTTGCCTCACCCACTGGCAACAATATAACCCCATAATCAAAGATACTAAGCCCAACTGTCAAACTATTTCGAATCCAAATGTTTCTGCTCCAAGCTATTCTTCCTCCCCAGAAGACAGTTTGGATTCCCCAGAGCCACCTCACCCCTGAACCCCTGAACATCCCTAGGAAAGGATCTGGAAAGAAACAGATAAGGAAGAAGACTGGCAAATAGTCTCAAAACTCCTCATTGCTCCCGTATGTTATGAAAGAAGGGGGCAAAATCCCAGGTTTCAGCCATTGGTATATGGGGAAATCAAGGATCTGTGTAGGGCCGCTAAAGACCATAGGAAGGACTTACCTTGTTTTAATGGCCTAATGAGGGCCATGTGTACAGCACATGCCTTAACCCCCTATCATTTAAAATATATTATGACCATGTTGTTGTCACCTACAGAACACACCCTGTGGGAAGGGAGATGGAAGTGTTTACTAAATCAATTAATAGCAGACTATGCTAATAATGAGGCATGGGCGGAATTGACAATCAACCATCCAGTTGGAGAAGGACAACACAGCCTACCAGATAATCAAGCAGCAGATATCTCCAGAGAAGTATTGGATGACATTGAAGAGATGACTTTGAAAGCTTTAATCCAGGTATTGGATGGTAGCACCCCCAATTTGGACTACCTTGGGTGGCTGCAGCTAAAGCTTTAGGACAATCAGACCATCATGGGCGCCACTGGTAAGCAAACCAATGCTACCTCCCTCACATTGAGTGGCCTGCTCTCAGACATAGAGACCATCAGACATGTCACCTTGCAGAACAGCGATAGAGTTTTTACTCTGGGCACATGGGTATGGCAGTGTAGACTCTGAGGGCATGAGTTACATGAACCTGTCCAGCCACAGTGAGTCAATCCACAAGAGCATTCAGGTACTGAAGGAAGGGTTCAAGAAGCTTCAAGTGGAAAACAAAGACGGGTTCAAAAAACTCTTCCAATCCAAGGGACTCAACGGTTGGATGATGTCGAGCTAAAACAGGACTATTAATTCTCTTAGTTGTTGTTGTTTTCTTGTTAATTGTCCCATGTTTCTTTGGATGCTTTTAGAAAGTCTTACAAAATTCTTTCTGTTCCATCTTTGCTGTAAAACAGAAAGGGGGAAGATACCCAACAGAGGATCCTCATGGACTCGGAGAAGAGAATTAGAGGCCAGGATGGCACAAAAACGCTTGGGCACTCAGTGTGGAAAGGAAAATTTCTAAAAGTACCTAAAAGTATTCCTAAATCTATAAAGTACCTGAAAACATTGAGTATCTCAAGGCATTAATTAGCCCCACTGAGTGTCAGTACAAAGCTCTCAAGGGACTCATTAAAGTAGATAACTGGGGCCATGATTGCACAAACCTCTCACAGAGTCTGTATCAAAAGGGAAACACCTTAAAATAACTGAAGTACCTTGAAGTATTAATGAGCCCCACTGAGTGTTGTTACTGACAAAGCCTCTCCAGGGAATAATTACAGCAGATAATTGGAGGCCTTGATTGCACAAACATTTTAGAGATTCCAAGGCAAAAGCCAAACCCAAAGTCCTTTGAAAAACCTGCAGTCCCTGCAGGGAGCATTCAGGAGCGCCCAGGGCCATTCCTGAGCAAGCCTCCCCAGGGACTCCTTCCAGCAGATCCCTGAGGCCACGTGGATGTGGGCTAGGGGGGGATGCTGAGGGCAGGACAAGGGGCTGACAGTGCCCAGCCTGGCTGGGGCTGTGCCAGGAGGCCCCAGGACCTCAGGACAAGGTGTCTCCTCACAGCCCTTGGTGGCACAGACCCTGCTGCTGTGCCCCAGGGCACCAAGACTTGGCTTCTCTTTGTCCTCAAATGTCATCGCTGCCTCCAGTTCTGTGCTCTGCCTGGGGTCTGGGGACACTTTCTCAGTCATGTCCCTCAGTGGGACCCATTAAAAGTCCAAGAAACTTTGGAGTTGGATTCTGATTTGGAGTTCTGGGGAGGTTTCTTCAGCTCCCTCTCAGGGACTGATGGTCAGGGCCTGAGCACAAAGCCCCAGAGGCTCATTAAAGTCCTTGTGCTGTATCTGTGCTGCTGAGCTGGGCTGGGCTCCTGGCACAGAGGCAGCTCCTGGTAACCAAGAAGAGCTTCAAAAGCACATTTCTCTTGATGAGCAGCTTTTCTGCCAGACCAGCAGGGCTGGGGCACTGCCTGCAGCCACTCTGGGTACAGCACAGAGGCACAGAGAGCTTCAATCAGTCAGGGCTGGGAAAGTGCTGAGAAGGGCCTGGGGCAGAATCACTGCCAGCCCTTGGCACAGGAACCTCTGGCTGCAGCTCCTGGAGCCATCTCCTCAAGCTGGAACATCCCAATGCCTACAGACCCTGCGAGTACATTCTCTGATCTTTTGTGCAGAGCAGCCAGGGGTGCCCAGGGCTGTCCTGCAGAGCGGGGTCCTGCAGCCTAGGGCGCTGTGCTGGGGCAGGGACTCTGCTGCCTGCAAGGGACAGCTCTCAGCCAGCCCTGGCAGCTGCTCCCAGCACTGGGGGACAAGATCTGGATGGGAGAAGACAGCTGGTAAGGCTTGGAAGTGCACCCCTTGTGTGGTGAGGGTGCTGCATCATTCAGGACTGCTCCCAGCATGACATTTAACTCCAGAATGTTTCCAGATAGATTATAAAGGGAGCACAGCAATAAGGAGACTGCATGAAAGGGGAAATCATGCTTTTTAAATCTACTGCTCTGAGTTGCCTGGGCAGGAAATTGCACATGGATATTCACCTCTCAGTTCAGTTTGGGAAAAAAAAAAAATCTCTCAGATGTCAATAAACCCAGCAGTAAGACAAATGAGCACATTGCCCCTTAGAGGCAGCATCAGTGTCACTTTTCCAGTCTCCTCAAGGTTGCTCTGACTTTGCCTTCAGAGCCTGCAGAGCCAGAGCAGCCCCTGGGCAGTGCCACAGCTGGGAGGGGTCTGCAGGGCAGAGATGAGCCCCCAGGGCTGGGCTGGGCTCTGGCAGCACTGGTAGAGCCCAGTCCTGTGCACAGGGGAGCAGTTGCTGGCACGGACAGCTCAAGGCAGCAGAGCCCTGGGCAGGCAGTGGGGGAAGAGTTGCCCCCAGGTTAAGCTGGGATATTGAAAGTCGTCCCCAAACCCAACTATTCCATGATTACTTTTTTACAGATGCCCATGCCAAGGCACAGCAAATGTCCAACAGCTGCTCCATCAGGCCCTTCCTCCTGCTGGCATTGGCAGACACGCGGCAGCTGCAGCTCCTGCACTTCTGCCTCTTGCTGGGCATCTCCCTGGCTGCCCTCCTGGGCAATGGCCTAATCATCAGTGCCGTAGCCTGCGGCCACCACCTGCACACGCCTATGTTCTTCTTCCTGCTCAACCTGGCCCTCAGCGACCTGGGCTCCATCTGCACCACTGTCCCCAAAGCCATGCACAATTCCCTCTGGGACACCAGGAACACCTCCTACACTGGATGTGCTGCACAGCTCTTTTTCTTTGCTTTTTTTATTTCTGCAGAGCTTTCTCTCTTGACCATCATGTGCTACGACCGCTACGTGTCCATCTGCAAACCCCTGCACTATGGGACCCTCCTGGGCATCAGAGCTTGTGCCCACATGGCAGCAGCTGCCTGGGCCAGTGCCTTTCTCTATTCACTGCTGCACACGGGCAATACATTTTCCTTGCCCCTGTGCCATGACAATGTCCTGGGCCAGTTCTTCTGTGAAATCCCACTGATCCTCAAGCTCTCCTGCTCAGACACATACCTGAGGGAATTTGGGCTTCTTGCTTTTAGTGCTTTCCTTTTTTTGGGTTGTTTTGTGTTGATTGTTTTCTCCTATGTGCAGATCTTCAGCGCTGTGCTGAGGATCCCCTCTGAGCAGGAACGGCAAAAAGCCTTTTCCACCTGCCTCCCTCACCTGGCTGTGGTCTCCTTGTACATCAGCACTGGCTCATTTGCTCACCTTAAGCCCCTCTCCATGTCCTCCCCATCCCTGGATCTGGCCCTGTCAGTTCTGTACTCGGTGGTGCCTCCAGCCCTGAACCCCCTCATCTACAGCCTGAGGAACCAGGAGCTCAAAGATGCCCTGAGGAAAATGATGACACTATCTTTTCAGAAACAATAAATTCTGTTTTCTGCTCAGAACCTTCAGAATGTAACTTTTTACACTCTTGGCCTTTTTTTTTTCCTGTTTGGTTTTTTTTTTCAGTGGGACCTTTCCTTAATTTTTTTTCTAGTATTACAATGTTTTTTTTCTAAAAACACTATAGTATTTCTTTATAAAAAGTTCCTGGCAGCTTTGTCACTGCTGTGACTGGCTGCTTTATCCTGCTGTGTGTCTGTGCTGTGACCTCAGGCAGGGACAGGCCATGGGCACTGCTGGGACACAGCTGGGCTCCAGCACAGCAGCTCCATCAGCAAAGGGCATCTCCTGAGGGCAGGGCAGGGAGGCTTTGCTCCCCTCCAGAGTCACTCTCAGTATTCTCAAGAGGCTCCTTGTGTTCCTTGTTCTCCCAGGGCTCAGTGTAATGAGATCAGGGTCTCATTGGGGCCTTCAGGGGACCCAGGTCTGGGTCAGGTTTGCTTGTTGGTGGCCAGTGCCCATCAGATGCTGAATGGTCTGTGCTGAACCTTCCTGGGGTGCTGCAGCTTGTGCCAGGGCTGATTGCAGGGGAAGGTTTGTCTGGAGGGCCGTGGGAGCTTCCAGGTGAGCACAGGGGACCTGCAGGGACAGAGTGCCAGGGACCAGCAGGGAGTGGATCTCACTGGGCACAGGCCTTGCCAGGGTGGTGTCACCCTGAGATCAAACACTGAATGTCTGCTGTGAGCCAGGAGAGCTCTGCAGCCCAGGGACACAGCAGGCACAGGGAAAGGGGTCTGGGCACTGACTCCTCTGACCCTCAGGGAGCTCCCCCAGGAAGATCCAGGGCAGCCCCGAGCCCCTCTGGCAGCCCTGGAGCAAGGCAGGCACCTCTGAGCCCCTCCATGGCCACGCAGAGCCTGTGTGGGAGGGGGTCAGTGCAGGGAGCACCATCAGCTGCCTCTGTGTGCCAGGCTGAGCAGCAGAGCCCAGCAGAGGCACCCAGGGCCCCAGGCAGCACAGCCCTCGTGCTCTGCAGAGCAGCAGCCCCAGCTCAGGCTCTGGGGAGCAGGGCAGGGGCTGCAGCAATGGCTGCTCGGGCCAGCGCAGACGTGTTCCCCTGGGAAGGGCTCTGGGGGCAGCTGGCATGGGCCAGGAGCAGAGCAGGAGCCCGTGGGGGTGCAGAGGAGCCCTGGCAAGAGGCTGCCCTGTCCCTGGGCCAGCAGGAGCTCCCTGAGGAGCCCCGGGGCCAACTCTGCGCTGTGCTGGGCAGCAGGGCTGGCCCTGGGACAGCAGGAGCTGCCCGAGCTGAGCATCTGATGAGCACTCCAGACACAGAGTGGCTATCCCTGACCTCCAGGGCCTCCAGTTCCTGCTGCCGGGCCAGACCTGACTCTGCTGCTCTCCTGGGCTGGGGCAAGGACAGGGAGGGGAAAACAATGGAGCCTCGTCCCCACGAGTCCCCACAGTGTCAGAATGGTGTCCATGGATCCATGAGGACTCACAGTGTCACAATAGGCCTTGGGTCCATTAAGCCTCACAGGGTCAGTTTTACCAGTGGGCAGGGTCAGCACCAAAGACAAAGAAACCAAATGAAGGAATTGTGTAATTTAAATAATCTATGTCTGCAAAAATTACAAAAGCATAAGCTCAGCAAAACACATACTCATTAGAAAATAATTACAAAAGCAGAAGCTCAGCAATGAACCCAATCATCCCCACCAAAGACTACCTGCAGTGATTAACAAAGATCCAGCAGCATTTACCCTCAGCCTTTACCATCCCCCAGACCCACACAGCAGCTGGGGAAGCTGTCACAGCCAAGGGCTGCAGAGCCATTCCTGGGCACTGGGAATTCCTGCAGGTGCCTCCAGCCCCAGGTGAGGCTCCAACCCCGCTGGGAGAGGGCCCAGCTCTGACAGTGCTGAATGAACAAACTGACAGCACTGCTAGTGTGGCAACATCTGCTTTCATCCTCCTCTTGGGTCCCTCCCAAAGCCTGGCCAGGGCCCCAGGAGGAACCAAGGGAGCTGACTTTGATCCTACAGCCTCAAACAAAGCCAGATGGGGCCTTTCTGCTTTCCAAATACAGAAAAGTAAATCCATATTTAACCAATGAACATATACAGAAATTTTATTGCTAATAATGATTCATTAATGAGCAGATACAAATATAACCTTTGGTTGGAAGGTTCATCTGGAGCTCAGCTTTGCCTAAGGGCCTGTTGTTCAGGCCTCAGTCAGGGCTTGGTGAGGCCTCAGTGCTTCAATCAGTGCTTTGACCTAGAGATGAACTGCAACCTTCAGAACAATTCTTTTAATAACACAGTTCAGATTTTGGTATTAGGCATAAAGGCATCACCTCTTGTTCTTCAATTAAGTGTTATTCACATTCATTGCCCAGAGCTATAATTCACATTCCTTTTAAAATAGCCCTAATTAGTTGCTATTCTCTGTTCTTTATCAAATGTCAATTTTTTTTCTTAAAACTGTGTCTCTTTTTAGACAAGTCTCAGTACTCCATTTCCAGCACAAGGTGTCACAACAACTCTAACATGGAATCATGACACACCAAGTGCTCACACTGCAATGATTGCAGTGACTGCCACAAATGCATTTCACAGCAGCCTCCAATCTGGCAGCCATGAAGCCAATCCCACCAAGAGAAATTTCTTCTTGCCGCCACTCTTGTACTGCTTTTTCAGTCAAGGTGATTCCTGATTGTTGGACTTCAAACCCAACAGTGATAGACATTCCTGCCACATTCCTGTCTCATGATAGCTCAAGTTCCTCCCTGGCCAGCAAGAAGATAATCCAAGGCCATGTGGTTCTGTGGAGTCCCCATTTGTGTTTGTTGGAGCTCACAGGATGTGCTATTGCATATTTTAACAGGATCATTTGCTATTTCTTCTAATAATCAATTTATCTCATTACTGTAAACTCCACAGGACTAGGCAGTGCACATGGGGTACAGGGTGAACCAGAGTATTTGTCTTTCTGAAACCCAAGGCACTCCTTGAGGGGAAAATGTTCTCTGGGCCCCAGCTCTTCCCTGTGGTTGTTGCTGAAGGACCCGAAATGGTGGCCCTGCAGCCAAGAGTGGTGTGACACCAACACTGACCTGCTCCAGCACCCCAGATTCTACTGACATTGGGAGTGATGGTAAAGCACAGAAATCCTCTCACACTGCAGCCTCTGGAACAAGAACAGGGTTTGGTTTCTCCTGAAGGGAAATCTTAGGGAATGATCTTTTTAAAAAGAGAACTCAGTCATTTACGTTGTAAATGTGCTGATGGCATAGATCCATCTTACTGATCTCAGCAGCCTTTTAAAAGATTTTGGGCTTTGTTTCCAACATTGGTATTTGAAATTGTGCTCGAAGCAAGACGAAAATGCTTTGTGCCCTTCCAGCTCCAAGCAGGACTGGGAATGGAAACTCTGTCAAAGCCCAAATCCTTTAGAAGATGACCTTTCTTCTCACCCTACGAATGAGCTGAACGTTCCCATTGAAACTTACAGGGATTTCTTAAAGTCACAAAGTCCCACTGATGGCTTTTTGCTCTGGTTTGGAAGTGCAAAAGGGCAATTCCCCATCCACCAGCTCCAGACTGCACTGCCTCAGGAGCACGGCCCACTCGCAAGCTTTGGTCCATTCGTGGCACTTCTAGAGGAGGAAGAAAGTGCAATTGCACAATTCCAGCCAATCAAGAAGGAAGAATGGGACAGACAAAACACCCTGTGCAGATCCAGGCATTCAGCTGGGACTGTGGAGAGTTTGGGTCCTTGCCAATTGGATGTGTGTCCCCAGCTGCCATCTCTGAGCCTGCAGCAGAGTCTCACTCACCGGCCAAAGCAGAAAGCTAAGGCGCTGTGCTCACAATGGGCTCGTCTGATGCAGAGCTGTGAGAGCAATGTGAGGGCAGAGCCAGCCCAGCTGGGCCCAGGGCTGAGCCCAGCAGAGCCCTGGCAGAGCCCAGAGCAGCCTCAGCACCCGCAGAGCCTGGCTGCAAGGAGAGAAAGCAGAAACCGCCCGTCAGCTGAGGGCTCCTGTGCCCTTGTGCCAAGGCCTGTGGTGCCCAAGCCATGCTCACTGTGCCCAGAGCTGTGCCCAGAGCTGCCCATCCCTGCTGCCTTTGGCAGCAGAGCAGGAGGGCAGGACATGTGCCCAGCCTGCAGCCAGCCACGGCACATCCAGCCCTCAGCAGCTGCCCAGAGCAGGATGCTCCTGTGCTCGCTGCCATCTCCCATAAGCTCTGATCCCACCCTGCCAAGCACACAGGGACCCACCTCACGCCAGCCACGGCTGGAAGAAAAGCTGCTCCCAAACCGTGGCCTCAGCCTTCTCCAAGGGCACGGCCCATGCACGCCACAGCTGCTCCCAAGCACTTCCCCATCCAGACTGGACCACCTGGAATGCTTCCTCTGGAAAAATAAACAACACATTCTTGAAAAGAGATTAGATGCAAAAAGGGAAAACAAGAAAAACGGTAAAAACTCTTATCTCTGTCAGGGGATTGAGGAAGGCCCAACCCCTGCATGCCAGGGAAAAACGCAGCAATGGGTGAAGGAAGCCCACACTTTCTCTCTTCCCCCCATCACTGCCCCCCAAAATCACGGTGACCCCAAAGCAAACAAGGGCAGTGGAGCAGCCCAAGCCCTTCCTTGCCTGCACAGCAAAGCAGCTGTGCACAGGTTCTGGAGTCCCACCTCTGCTCCCACCATGGGGCTTTGTTTGTGTCGGGCTGGCTGCCCCAGCCCCAGCCCCAGCCCGGGGCACGGTGGGTGCTGGGGGCTTTTGGCAGGGCCAGGAGCCCACTCCCATTTCGTACCCACCCCAGCCCATCCTCCAGCCCTGCCAAAAGCAGCTGGGCAGCCACTGAAGAATGAGTTGCATCTGCCCCAGCAAAGGGGGAACCTTTGGTTCCCAGCCAGGCTGGGCAATGCCCAAATCTGAGAGCATCCCCCTGCATGTGGACTCATCTGCAAATTCACTGTGGAGCCTGGCTTTGAAGAAGGTGCCGGAATCAAAGTCCATCATCTTCAGC